TATTAAACGATGTGTCAAATGTCGCTCTTCAAAATTGGACAAACGCCTGTGACCATCCTCCGTTTCAGGGGCGAGGGCTGGGGGGCTGCCCGCACCACTTACAGAAGTAAAGTCGCCTGCTTTATAATTTTATTTGCTGTGGCATTGGCGCAATCGCGCACCGTAAGAAAAAAAACAGACAAAAGAAGAATCTGAAGATTATACTGTCAATTAAATGAGAAAATATGCAACCATCGGGGCCTGAGGGACTAAAAAAGGGTGGAAGCCAGGAGTCGAATGGCAAGGTTAGCAGCAGCACACTGGCGGTGGGTGGAGGCGGGGGAGGGGGCTATGACCCAGTGTGTGGAATGGTGCCTCTACAACAGCGGGCGCCCGGTCTCCTCATGTTCGGGGTCGTAGCTGTCAAAATAACCTTTGTTTCGGCGATGGAATAAGATCACACAGTCCACGGGTTCAGATCATGTCACCGACAGTGTTACTGCGTGGGAGATTCACTGGAAATGGCGATTTTCGGTGAAGGCTGAAAGGCGGAAAGGGGACCGAACTGTGAAACCCAGTTTTTGGACAGAAAGTAGTCAAAATAAATCAGAATTTTAGGTGACACAAAAGTGGCAATCGTCGATCCTGATAAGGGAGTCGGAACCCGCACGATTCCGCTCTTCCGTCGTAGGACAAAGAACAATCTAAGATAGTTACCAGCCATTTACTGATTATTTCACGTTGTTATTCGACCCCACCTCAGCCGCAAGTTGCAATAGTAAATAGAGCCTCGTAGGCCAATGGTAGAGCGTTGGCTGCGCAAAAGCCTCCCCTGCTGTGTAGATTCGACTCCCACCGAGGCCGCGAATTTTTTTCCCAATTGGGTCAACTGAATTAAGCAAATCTGCCAAACCTCCCTAACAATAGTAAATGAGCTTGGCTTGAAACCAGGAAGTTTTTAGACAATAGGCAGTGCAAGCTGTCCCCATTGTTTAACACTCTAGTAGGCAGAGTTGCCTATCCTCTGCGTATGAGACGTTTGCCTCTGCCGCCCCAGTAACAGGGCATCGAAAATAAATGAAAAAATCTAATACTACTTGAGTAGGTATTGTTTTTTTTACAGTCGACCGGAAAGAAGCTCGTTCAAAAAGGCGGCATCCTGACGTGACTGAAACATTTTTGGATTAGGCTGCAAAAAAATCAATTATCTAGCACTACTTAAGTAACCTACTTGATTCGAAAACGCGTTTCAGAATTTCACTTGACATTTCATGAGATGGCACGTCCACTATGCATGACAGTAACGTTCACAGATTTATCCTGTCCGTAGAACGGAAGACGAGCGATTCAGCTTTGTCTTCCACAACTGAATCGTGCGCTCACTGCCTAAGATGGTCATTAACGGCTTTCCATTATCGGTCTGTTGGAGGGTATTTTACTTCCTTTCTTAAGATATGGTAGAGTACTTTGGTGATCCCGCTTCATCAGCGCCAGCTTTGCCATGTCATAAAAGTATTTTACGCAAAGGTCGGCTCCTCTTGTCAAAGTTGCGCAAATGCGGATCGGTTCAGGCTAACATCAAAAGTGCCGATCAGGTTTATCACCTTTGAGTCCACATGTCTGTTATAGGCTGTTTACAGAGACAGGTGACATGGATGCATCCGCGGGATCGAGATTGGCATATCCTGGACTATGT